GGCAAAGGAAAAAAGTTGTGATCGAAGGGCGTTAGGAACGATAGCCCTGACAGTTGGGGACCATGTTAAAGTCGATATCCAACACTGTACAAGTGCAAAGGAAGCATGGGATACAATAGCAAATCTCTACGAAGATAAGAGTATTCTGAGAAGGCTGCAAATAAAAAGGGAACTTTACTCCATGGATTTTAACACATGTTCAGGTATGGCTGCTTATATTAACAAAATACAAACCCTCATTGACCAGTTGAGGAAAATCGGTTGTGTAATCGATGATCAGGAGCATGCCGAATTATTATTAATGCGTTTACCGGAGGAATATGATAGTTTAGTGACCAATCTAGCGATTGCCGCAGACGTAAAATTAACCTCAGTTGCAGTTAAATCTAAACTGCTGCAACAGGCTGCCAGAAAACATGAATGCAGTAACACTAATGAGTCAAAAGTGTTTAGTGCAACAAGAAACCGTTTCGATAGAAGAGGCACTGGTATCAAACAAAAGTATGACGATACAAAAATCTTTAATGGAAAATGCTTCAAGTGCAATAAATATGGACATACGGCATCGCAATGTCACAGTGAAACAAATCCGAACCAGAAAAATCGGATGATGTTATGTTCAATTAAAAACAAAAGTGTTGACGCACATAACTCTGATTGGATTATAGACAGTGGCAGCGCTCATCATTTAAGTTATGCTCGTGAGCTTTTCGTAAAGTTCAGACCAGCGAATCACGTGATATATGTGGCAAACGATTCAACTTTAAAAGTCGCAGGTGAAGGTGATATATCCTTGCGCTTGAACGTGAAAGGTGTACCTTACAATTGCATATTAAAAGATGTTTGGTATGTACATCTTGACTTTAAGCTGAACAAATTGCGTGTAAAATAAAACTAATTTTATTTAATTTTAACTGTTTACGCTGTGATTATTAAGAGACAACTTTTCGAACTTATCACAAGTACGGCGACTCCACATTAGAGTAGTCGGATAGAGAGTAATGGACACAATGTACCCATTCCATTCTTGTAAAGTTTGGAAGGCTGTACCATTGGCTTAGCCTTTGAAGAGAAGTGAGAAGGCGTGGGGGTGAAGAAGGTGAAGAAGGGATAAGGAAGATAGGAAAGTGTGAAGTGATATCTCATGAGCAACCATCGGACCTTGTGCATTGAAAATGAATAACAAAGGTTACAGTGTTGGACGCAACCCAAATTGAACAGTGTATGAGCTCAAATAATTTACATGGAAGACAAACGTAATTATGACAAAATACAGTGCTCATTTGAGTAATCGCGACATAAGAATGCGAGGTATTCTCGCAAAAACGTTGGCACGATAAATTAACAACGCGAATGCCAAACAAAAGGAGCGAAAAGGAACGACACAAAAGACGATGCAGAAACAAACAAAACGGGCTGCCTCCTACACTCGGGAGTGTGCCCCTTCTGGCCTCTGACAGCTACTTAAGACTATAAGGCAGGTAACAAAAGGAGAAGGTAGAGATTGTTTATCCCTTAACATAAGATGACTGGTAGTAGAGTTACCGGTAACGCGTATGGTTAACCACAAGCCCCTGAAGAGGGTAAAAACAGTCCATGCTTAGGTGCCGCTTATACGGAGAAGTCCCGATTGGTGAGCCTATAGCTTTGATAAAGATCGAGAATGCGCTGTGGATATTCTTGTTGATGAAGAACTCTTGGGTCCTGCAGGGCCAGTGATGTCCCTCCGAATATATGACATGCGCCAGAAATTTTTGCTTATGCTTGTATTTTGCACACATAAACAGGATATGGTGTTGTGTTTCTTCCTCCGTGTTACAGTCACAAAATCCATTTCCTTTTTAGAGGAATCTTTTTAGATAGTTTCTAAAGTTCCCAAGTCCTGTTATAAATTAGGTTGTGTGGAAATCAGGAACATAAAAGTTTATCTTCTTTTCTACATTCAAGTCCGGGATAAAACTGAATGTGGTTCTACTCGTCGTCTCCGTGTCCCACCTTTCCTGCCATTTATCGTTGATGAAAGTTTAAATTTGATTTTTTACCCAGCTGGATGGAATGCTTCCGAAAAAAGTATTTATTTGATGCTTTGTGGCCTTCTTGGCGAGAAGTCGGCCATCTTCCCCAAGTGCCTCCTGACCCAATTAAACGTAATGTTGGTTCGCTTGTTTGTTAAACTTGTAAGCAGATGGATAGTCTCTTGAACGATTTTTTAAATTCATATTCAACGTTTTAATTTGCATCAGGGCCACCCTACTGTCACTAATTATAGTGATGGGTTGGTGTGTCTTCTTCCTGAGAGTGTTATCAACGTATTCCAGGGCCTTCAAGATTGCTAGGCTTTCCACCGGATTGTTCGTGCAACATGATTGAAGTTTATAGTAAGCGATACTCAAACCTGTTGTTATTAGGACCGCCATAGATGCCCCAACACCGTGGCCCTTTGAAACTGTCTATATAGCGTATACCAGTCTCTTGGTTTGAATTTGGGGATAAGTCAATATCTGGGAGTTAAGTTGCTGGATGAGCTAATTTGTAGCTGTTGTGCCGGTCCAATCCGTTACTTTTGACTTTTCCCACAATATTCTTGTCTCTGGAATATCACTGCCAGTCTCAAAGTGCTTTGAATGGTGAATGACTTGGAAGATCCAATATCTTTCGATGGCTTTTAAGTCAAGATGGGCCGTGCTTGCAATAATCTGGAGCGCGCTGGTTGGGGCCGTTCTATAAGCCCTGGTTATTAAAATAAGACAACAGCGCTGAGTAGATGAAAGTTTTCTGCGTATTTGCTATCAGCTGGTGGCTACGCCCAAAATCTCAGCCCCATACAGTATGGCTGGTTCTATAGCTGATTTGTAAATTAAGGATGCATTTTGAAAAGTCAAACCCCAAAGGTTGCGGCAAATGGACCGTTATGTGTGTGCTAGGTTGATGACTTTCTGCTTAGTGCTCCCAATGTGAATGTTCAAATTTAGTAAGTTGTCAACAGTGATCTCCAGATACAGTACTTGATACTATCAGAGCATTTAATTCTTTCCCCATATATCTTAATTGTTGGTTTCTTATCTAAGGACTTGTTTCTGAGGAACAATATGCATCCACATTTTTTGGTGTTAATTATCAGCTTGTTATTATAGGCCCAGTCAGCTATCTTCTGTATTAAGTCATTCATTTCTTTTTGTAAAATTTCTTGGTTGCTACGTGACATGAGGACTAAGGTGTTATCCGCAAACCCTATTATTTTGGCCCCTAAGTTGTTCTGTGGTGTGTCTTGCAGTAGCAGGAGGCTGTTGTACATTATTAACCATAGTAGGTGGCCTAAGCAAGACCCTTGGGGGCAATCTCTTGTCACTTGCTTTGTGACCAAACTGCCATGTGTGCCTACGGTAGCTTGTCTGTCAGCCAAAAAGCTTCCGTAAAGCCCGAAGATATTTGATGGGTACTTGTAATTAATTAAGGCAGTAAGAACAGCCGGCCCCCAAGCATGGTCAAAAAGCTCCCTGGAAAGTCTATAAATACGGCCATGTACCCAGATCAACTTACTCATGAGAGATGGACATCGGGGCAGATCCAATTAAAGGCATAGGCACTTGGCATTTTTGTCCATAGGATAAATACTGTTCAAAAATAATTAGCCAAGAGACAACACTTTTAATCGCTATAAATAATCTGAGTTTGAACCCAATCTTGATCTTATAGTTTATTATGGGTTGTACTGTACTA